GCATCATTTTGGCTTCACTCTGACTTAAACGTTGCCTTTCTGCCTTTTCTTGGTTCTACAGGAGGCGCTTTGGAAGAGGCACTTGCAAATGTTGCCAAAGCAGAAAATTCCATCTAAGGCTTTGAAAATCTGTCAAAATCGCCACAAAATTTCCCCTAAGAAAAATCTCAATGTTTTGTGGCAAATGAAGCGGACGTTTCTGTACAAAACAAGCGCAAAATCACCTCTATAGATTCTCTGGGTTCTGTAGGAGGCAGTTTAGAAAAATTCCCAGCAAATTTTTCCAAAGCGAAAATTTTCTGATACCGGTTGGAAAACTCAGAAAATCTCGCCAAAAAGGTCCCTAAATGATACCCGCAAAATCCTCCGGTGAATCAAGCATCATTTTGGCTTCACTCTGACTTAAACGTTGCCTTTCTGCCTTTTCTTGGTTCTACAGGAGGCGCTTTGGAAGAGGCACTTGCAAATGTTGCCAAAGCAGAAAATTCCATCTAAGGCTTTGAAAATCTGTCAAAATCGCCACAAAATTTCCCCAAAGGAAAATCTAAATTTTTTGTGGCAAATGAACCCTACGTTTCTGTACAAAACAAGCGCAAAATCACCTCTATAGATTCTCTGGGTTCTGTAGGAGGCAGTTTGGAAAAAATCCCGGCAAATTTTTTCAAAGCGAAAATTTTCTGATACCGGTTGGAAAACTCAGAAAATCGCCCCAAAAAGGTCCCTAAATGATACCCGCAAAATCCTCCGGTAAATCAAGCATCATTTTGGCTTCACTCTGACTTAAACGTTGCCTTTCTGCCTCCTCTCGGTTCTTCAGGAGGCGCTTTGGAAGAGGCACCTGCAAATGTGGCCAAAGCAGAAAATTCCATCTAAGGCTTCGAAAATCTGTCAAAATCGCCACAAAATTTTCTCAAACTAAAAAGATCTAAATCTTGCTCTTATTGCTAGCGATTTGCTCTATGACCGTTGAAAGTTTCATTTTTCAGCCATCATCAGACAGTTTCCAAAAATTTTTAAAACCCGGTCCGATTTTTTGCAGGTTAGAGTTCAGCAATTATTTTCTCCTCATCGCCGCAACGCCAGAACGGTAGTTCTTCTTGTATGTGGTAGAGCAAGGCTCCCTCTATAAGCGGGCAAAATTTCGATTTCTGGTCATCATCAGGGAATTTTCGGTATGGGCTTTAATTTATCCAGAAACCACCGAAGCTGGCGAGTTGCCATCAGCTGCTTCTTCTAGGCCCGCACCTGCGACAGATGGGGGACGTTTCGATTTTTTCGATTTTCCGTCATCATCAGGCAATTTTCCATGATTTGTCAAAATGCGCAATATTTTTGCGCAGGTCCCAGTTGGACATTTTTGTCTTCAGAAAACTGCTAAGCTAAAGAGGCATTTTTTATCTGAAAACGTGGGCGCAAAGTGTGCTCTGCGCGTGGACGACGTTTCGATTTTCCACCATCTTCCGGGAATTTTCGGGAGTTATTTTTGGAGATTTTTGCGTATGCTTTGTGCTCGTCAACTTAGCAAACGACTTTCGGTCGAAATTTGTAGGGCATCGGATGCTTAATGCGTGGCAAACGTTTCGATTTTTATACAAACTTCTTTTTGGGTACTCAAAAATTTTCGTCTTTAAAAAAGACAGAATTTCCTCACGTTTTCTATTACAAATTGATAAATAGTGCTCCTATTTAGCAATAAGAACGAATTACTTATCAAAAAGTAATCAAGAATTCCCACGAACAAAACAAAATCAAAATAAACCTGTTACGAACMWTTTGCACAKWCGAWTTTTAATATATTGTATTATCCTASKAYTKTTASATCAATTTATTAACATACTCTTTTGTAGGTTCATTTRGGTTCTTTTGATAACGAWAATTTWTCAAATTAGGACTWKGCTTMAMTAACTGACTTTTTGAWAWAYAATTMGWWSTAA